GAAAAAGAAAAAGCCCTCAAAGTAATTGTGGACAATAGGCTAATCATGAACCAACAATGCGATGCAGCTGCCAAAAGGACAAATGCTATTTTGGAGTGCACTAACAGAAGTATTACTTCCAAATCATGAGAAGTAGTAGTTCCCCTATACTCCTCACTAGTCAGGCCTCATCTGGAGTACTGTGTCCAGTTCTGGGCACCAAGATTTAAGAAAGATGCAGAAAAATTAGAAAGAGTCCAGAGGAGGGTAACAAAAATGATCCAGAGTTTGGAAACACTGCCTTATGAGGAGACACTGAGAGAATTGGGCATGTTCAGCCTTAGGAAGAAAAGACAGATGGGGGACAAAATATCCCTTTATAAGTACCTCGAAGGCTTTCACAAATAGGAAGGTCAAGAGCTCTTCTTGATGATGCCGGAGTTTAGAACATGGAATTGTGACAACCTAGATCAAGCTTAGTGACAGATTTTATTTTCCTGGGCTCCAAGATCACCGCAGACGGGGACTGCAGCCAAGAAATTAAAAGACGTTTGTTCCTTGGGAGGAAAGCTATGGGAAATCTAGACAGCATACTAAAAAGCAGAGACATCACCTTGCCGACAAAAGTTTGTATAGTCGAGGCTATAGTTTTCTCAGTTGTAATATATGGCTGTGAAAGTTGGACCATAAGAAAGACTGAGCACTGAAGAATTGAGGCCTTTGAATTGTGGTGCTGGAGAAGACTCCTGTGAGTCCCTTGGGCTGCAAGGAGATCAAACCAGTCAGTCTTAGAGGAGACCAACCCTGACTGCTCTTTAGAAGGCCAGATACTAAAGATGAAACTCAAATACTTTGGCCACCTAATGAAAAGGAAGGACTCACTGGAGAAGACCCTAATGCTGGGAACAATTGATGGCAAAAGAAGAAGGGGACGGCAGAGGATGAGGTGGCTGGATGGAGTCACTGAAGCAGTCGGCGTGAGCTTAGGTGGACTCCAAGGGATGGTGCAGGACAGGAGAGCCTGGAGGAATGTTGTCCATGGGGTCTTGATGGATCGGGCACGACTTCACGAATAACATAACATAACAGATTCAGGCTGGGCATCAGGCAAAAATTCCTCACTGTCAGAGCAATATAACAGTAGAACCAGCTGCTTAGAGAGGTAGTGGGCTCTCCCACAGTAGAGACATTCAAAAAGAAACTGGACAGCCATCCGAGTGGGAAGACGTAACTTGGTGTTCCACAACAGCAGTGGATTGGACCTGATAGCCTTCATGCCCCCTTCCAAATCTACTATGATTCTGTGAAAATTAGACAATTATTTCTCATTCGCACACATGGCAATTGCATTTGTAGGAACCTTCTTCAAATGATTTTGGATCCTTAGAATATGGATTGAATGTATGTTGTCAGCCTTGATCCAGCCAAAGGTATTTGTGGTTCCATCCATTCAGAACTACTGAAGCAAAATAGTTGAGAGTCATACCGCTCAACATCGCAATCCTATACATGTCAACAAAGAAGTACATACCTACTGAATACAATCTCTTAAGTAAGAGGAGGTAGGATTGTAGCTTTAACTTTATGAGCAAACCAAGTTATACATATGTTAGGTTGCTATTCTGTGTTTGACAAGAAGAAACTATAGCAAATAGTTCACAAAACAAAGGAAAAACTGGAAGCAGAGGAAGACTCATGTAAAATCAGATCCTGTTTGTAAGGAAGTTCATGGAAATTCCTAAACCTTTTCATATTTTTAGCTTGGAACTTAAGGACAGCTGATTTGAAGGAAAAGCTTTATTGTTACATGTCATCAAGTTGTCTTTGATGTATGGTGACCCTATGCATGAATGCCCTCCATAATGTCCTACCCTTGACAGCCATGCTCAGCACTTGTAAATGGAAGGCTGCACATTCCTTTATGGAAATGAACCATCTCATATTCTGTCCGTCCTTCCTTCCTTCCTTCCTTCCTTCCTTCCTTCCTTCCTTCCTTCCTTCCTCATCTTCTGCTAGGAATTTCCCTAGCACTATTTTCTTCTCCAGTGAGTCTTGCATTCTCATTATGTGCCCGAAGTATGACAGCCTCAGTTTCGTTGTTTTTGCTTCATCAAGTTCTGGCTTGATTTTCTGTAGGACCCACTTACTCATCTTTCTGTCAGTTCAGGGTATTGGTAAAGCTCTCCACCACCATCATGTTTTGAGCACAATTTTCTTCCTGTTATGAAACTTTCTTCATTCTTCTACTTTCACACCCATACATAGGGATTGGGAATTTTCTTCTGGTCAGATTGTGTGTTTCCCTCTTGGTCTCTGAAGCATTCCTAATCTAGGCTTGAATTTTCCTTTGCTTTTTTTAGATCTTCTGGAAGAGAGCTCTTCTTTTCCCTCTTTTGCTATGCGCTCTCTCTTATTTGCCCCTGGTTATTTTAATAGTGCTTTTTATTCCTGTGTGATCGTTGCTCAAAAGTTGCATCTAGAATTCTTATCCTTTTTCTGTCACCTTTTGCTTTTGATTCTTGCCTGTCCTTAGCGATTGTAAGAATTTTTCCATCATCCATGCCACATTTCTTGCAAGATTTTGTTCAAGGTGGTTGCATCTGCTCTGAAACTGCAAGCCCAACAGTGTGTACCAAGTGGGCTTTTTCAGTGGAAGTTTGAGAAAATTCAGGGTATGTTTGTCCCCTTGGAAAATAGTCCTTAGAATTTGCAAGGTAAAGTCATTGGGCAGAACTGGCTGCTTGTTAAAACCTGGATGATATGCCATTTTATGAGAGGCAATAATCGGTCACTGCACATTATCGGTTTCTTTGCTTTCAGGGTTAGCGTTTGAAAACTAAATTTCTGTACTACTAGCAGTCCTGGAGACCTGCACTAAATCAGTGAGGCATCTGTGTATGCCTCTCTTTTTGTGCTATGTGTGAGTGTGTTCATGTGCAAAGAGGGTAAGAAGAGGCTTGCCTGAACTAATTGCTTTAATAAATTATTCATTCTGGTGCTACGCAGCAACCTTGTGATCAAATGCTGTCTTTTATGGTGTGGAGGAGACAGGGAGATGTAAATCTTCCCCCAAAGAATAGAGATTTAGCCATTTTTAAAAGGCCTTTGGTATATTACACGTAATGGAAGCCGATCAGCCAAACAAACTAATTGGTAACTGCCTTATTTCTCATCCTTTCAAAATTTAAGTATTTATTTACATTTATTTGTAGGCTGCCTATAATTGCCGAGGCCTTCCTAGGTGGCTTGGAAGCAGTGACTATCCATAGGTTGTCGGTGGACATGCAAGAATGAGGGGAATGCCTCAAACATCTCTTTCAATAACATCCTGTGATAATTTCGAGTGATAATTCTCATTACCTCACACTGTTTCCCAAAGCAAACTTTTTATCAAAAGCTTTCAGTTTTGTTTTCCACACTTAGCTGTTCTGTCAGTGAGTGGAGGCAATGTAGCCCACAAAATGTTCAGAAGAAATAATGAGGGAATGATATTGAGCAGAGAATAACTGAGGCTGCTCCTCAGATTTTCGTTTTGGAGATGAGGTAGGGTTCTGCACTCTTCCACAATGACTGACTTCACAAGATCACGGAGGAGAAATAAGCTGGGGAATGATTAGCATAATTACCTTTGGACCAGGTTAGCTTGCTGATGGATAACTACTGAAGCTCTGGCTGTTGTCCAGTTTAGTCTGTGGTAAATCCAGGTAGTGCTGGGAAAGAAACCTGTCTGAAACTTTGGAGAGTGTTTGCCAGTGCAACAATAAAATTATTTATTTATTTATTTATTTTCTACGGGTGACATAGCTACTTTTCAACAGCAAGAAGGTGCCCCTGGTGATTATGGTATGATGCAAATGCCTCACAGTGTGTGTGCAAAGCTGCAGTATGCACCATTTTGTGATCTTGGTTTTAGCTGTTCCCATGCCCTGTCCTCCTGTGCTAATGATTGCTCCAGGAAGGGATATTGAGTAAAATTTTTCAGAGCTGCAGAATAACATTGTTGCAACTAATTAGATGAACCTTCAAGAGAAGAAGGCAGCTAACGAAATTCAGTTTGCATTGAACCAATGCTTTGTATTGCAGAGGGTTCATGCTTTGCTGTAGAAATGTGGGTCACCATTCCGACAAGTTTGCAGTTCTGTCATTGTGAGAGGAATAGCGTGCTGCGGCTGAGGCGCTGCTTCTTCCCTAGTGCCTTGCTGACAAGAAAGAGCCTGTTACATTGTGCTGGAAGGCTCATTCTGCCTCAGTAGTGAAAGAGTTTCCAGTTTGGAGTCTATTGAAGCTAAAGAGCAATTTTTTTCTGGGTTTGAACCACCCATAGTTACTAAACATTGCTAGGATGAAATCGTTCTCATTCTTCTTTTGCTGGGTGAATAGAGAAGAATATTTCAGGAAGACAGCTTGTTTGCCAGTCGTCTAGCCTTTAGAATACCTGATTAGACATCAATGTTGATCTATTTTTGATGCCAAATACTTGATGTTCCTGCTGTTCATCAATCAGAGGGAAATACTTGCCTCTGAGATGGGGAAATAGAATGTAATCTCTTTTACATGAGCAAACACCATCTAGATTAATCCTTTGCGCAATGCAAACTTTAAAAGCTTTAATACCAATTGAACTGTCATGACTACCTAAAGAATTCTGGGGGTTGTAGTCTGCTGAGGGTGTTCAGAATTCTTTGTTGGAGATCTTTAGTCTTCTTGAAGATTGACTAGTGTTGCACAGAACGTGGCATAATATGTGTTTGCTGTCACTGTGCCGTACCTACCCAGAATTCTGCTGGGTGAAGGAATGAGGGAGTGACTCATAGTCGACTGGAAATGCTTGCAGTAGAAATGAAGTATTCTTTGGGGTGAGATGTTTGAAACACTTGAATTGTTTTTACATACCTCTTTTTGTAAGAATACTTTAAAAACTAGATGCTGCTATATTTTCTTTAATACCTAGAAGTCAGTTTGAAAACATGTATGTGCCCAATGCTCAGGTGGTTTCTGTCTTTCTGTTCCCTACATTTCAGCTGGCTCTGATGAAGTAGAGTGAAGCAAGCGGGCAACTTCCAGTCAATATGAAGCAAAACCTATGATGACTTGCCAAGGGAGAATCTGGAGTGATCATGTGCTTGTGGCTATCTAGTGAGTAGCTTGAAGAAGTGGCTCTACACACCATCCTGCTCTAGGTCCAGGACTTTATGATGGATCATGCAGCTTCCTTCAAAGCTTAAAAAAAATATTGCCTAATTTTGTGCACTGTCTCCCAGCCAGTTGCATAATGCATTTATTGCCAAGATGGCTAGCGCATCTTGATTCTTGCACAGCTTATAACACTGTTGTCTTATTTTCCATTCCCTTACTTAAGTGAACTTGGAGGCACAAGTATTACTTAAATGGAATAAATTTCCGCATCAAAAAGGTATATCCCGCTCACATACATGTGCATGCGCACACATGCACACACCCAGAGCAAGAGGGAGATCTTTAACATGTACTGGGCAGTGTTTCAAAACTGGTTGTTTTTGCCCATGTAAATTTGTGGTATCTTCAGAATACAGATCATCTTCAGAGACCAGCTGCTCATTATTTAACACAGGCAGTGTACAGAATGATTACCATTTTTCCTCCAAGGCACAGCTTCTCTGCTTAGCTCTAAAGGATGCAGGAAGGTCGGTAGAGGAAGGTATTCTTTTGTAGACTATTGTACTTGAGTTGCTTTGTAGCTGAAATGCAAGACATGGACTTCTGGCAGAAAGCCTGCCTTTTGATGGGTAGGAACATTGCTTGCTTGTTGTTGTTGTTGTTCTCCTTGTAAGTGTTCATAGTCTGCCATGCTTCTTCCCCCGCCCCTTACAGGGAGGAATAAGTGGTGAATTGTATAGCCTTTCAAAAGACTTCAAATAAATCCTGGCTCGCGTAGATCGCGCATTGGAACAGATGGATAATGGAGACTGGGGATATATAGTAAGTATTTCAATTGGGCTGTGGAGACATGGTAGGTTTCCCCAGGGGTTGTGTGTGTAAATCTGACCTTCTGTGCTCTTTTCCCAGGCAGATGGCCTAACACAAATGCTGTATTTAGTAGCCTGTAGGTACATTTATTAACAGAACAGAGATCTACAGCCAAAGATTTGGCCAGTTAATTTCCTGTATCAAGTAGGGCAATGAGAATTGGGGTGACCTGGTGTTTTTGCTGGTGGAGGGGCCCTTTATTTTTATGAATCTGATGTTTAGGTTTATCCAAAACAGTTCTGCTACTATATATTTGTTAGTCTTTAAAGCTCTAAAATATCTGAACTTGTTAAACTCGTCCCATTCTCCTTTTTGTTAATACTCACATAGCAAGGATGGGCAACCCCTTTGGGCCTGTGAGTACTTAAACAATTTGAGAAACTGTTTTGGACATCATGGCACAATGTCAGTTATGAGAGGCCTACAGAGTTACAAAAAATAAGTAACCCACCCCATGATTCCCTACAAAGGAGAGGTGCTGAACAGCTCCTTCAGACTCACAGCTTTCACTGCTAACAGAAGCCTATGTCACAGAAAGCAAAATCTTTCTCTCTTACCCCATCCTTACTTTGCTAATTTATTCAATTTTTTAATAATAGTGAGAGCCACACAGAGAGTTCCCATTTAATTTCTTTAAAGTGCTGGTAGTTTCCTTACAGCGAGTTACAGTGAGTGGTTTGATCTGATTTCACCATGTTCTTGTATTTGAAAGAGCTGATACCTTTTCTTTTTCATCCCTCAAGATGACCGAACCAGTCACTCTAAATGTGGGTGGACACTTGTATACAACCTCGCTCACCACCCTAACACGGTACCCTGATTCAATGCTGGGGGCCATGTTCAGGGGGGACTTCCCTACTGCCAGGGATTCTCAGGGCAATTACTTCATTGACCGAGATGGACCACTTTTCCGGTACATTCTCAATTTTTTACGGACATCAGAGCTGACTCTGCCTCTGGACTTCAAGGAATTTGATCTGCTTCGAAAAGAAGCAGACTTTTATCAGATCGAACCTTTAATACAATGTCTTAATGACCCCAAACCTTTGTATCCTATGGATACCTTTGAGGAGGTGGTGGAGCTTTCCAGTACACGCAAGCTGTCAAAATACTCCAATCCAGTGGCAGTGATCATAACACAGCTAACCATCACAACCAAGGTCCATTCATTGCTGGAAGGCATTTCCAATTACTTTACTAAATGGAATAAGCATATGATGGACACTAGAGACTGTCAAGTTTCTTTCACATTTGGACCGTGCGACTACCACCAAGAAGTCTCTCTCAGAGTTCATCTGATGGAGTACATCACAAAGCAAGGCTTCACTATCCGAAACACGAGGGTCCACCACATGAGCGAACGAGCCAATGAAAATACAGTTGAGCACAATTGGACTTTCTGCAGATTGGCACGGAAGACTGATGACTGACCGTCCTTCCGTCCTTGTCTTTGGTTTACTCTTCAGAAGTAAAGTAGCAGCTTCTCAGAACAATGTATTGGAGACCAGAGCCTGGCTTTGATTTAAGCAACACTGCAGGCTCTCTTTATTTTGTTATGAATATTTATTATTTGAGTCTTAAGGACTGGAGAAAGGACATGCTCTGGCCTCTCTCGTCGTTTGTCTTGTATGAAACATATGCATGTGCCTGCTCAAACTCTCAAGACATGTTTTTTAATTGAAGGATGAAGCAAGAAGACATCCTTAGAAAAACGTAACTACGTTAGGGGAACCTTTTCTGTGGTGTTTACACAGTACAGTGTAAAGTGCTAAAATCACCTTTTGGTTCAAACTGTGTTTTAATCCATCTGATGCTGTAACAAAGCACTGGGGACTAAACAGAGGATCCAGTCCAGCATGAGCATCTCCTGCAAAGCCGCATGGAAAGGAATGGGAACAGTGCAACAGGTGTAGAAATTCCCTCTGGTCTGTAGCCAGTATTGTTAAGATGCTGCTGGAGAAGAAAAGCTACCATCAAGTAATTTAACCTAGTTTTCCTAGAGCAGTAAGCAAGCAGTATTATACTTTAGTTACCAACATACTTCCAAGAGCAACCCCTGCCCTAGTTTTTTTTTCAAAGGTATGGTATTTTACAGTTATGGCAACTGTTTCTTTTCTATGCATTATAAATCAAGCAACCAAATATTATCTGAAACTCTAAAAATAAAATTAGAAGTATTTATATTGGATTCTGAATGAAAAAAACATCCCTGTGGTTGAACTCTTTTATTTTTTACTGCCTGGTGCAATATTATTCCCAAGTGTAATGCTTGTCAGCAAGAACCTAATAAAAACATCCGATATGGAAGTGAGTATTGTAATTATTTGTTTTTGCTTTCTTAATAAACTTACTTTTACATTTCCTAGAATAATGAGAGAAAAACCATGCAGCTTCCCTGGGGGAGAGCACACCTAGAAAACTGTTCATTTTAAAGTAACAGGTAGGGTTTTTCAAAGCAAGCAAAGTCATAAGAAGTTTGCAATGAATTTTAGCAGGAATCTCAACTATAGATGGAAGCTAGGTTGAACAACGTGAGTAGAATGGTGGAGATCTTAGCTTTCCCTTAGGAGGAGGATGGCCAGCAATCTGGGAAAGCAAAAATGCCAGCCTGCATCACTAGGGAAATTTTAGGAACCCAGAGTTGTTTCTCCACTCCTTTCTCTCTCTGTGATCTTATACCATCAGAGTGCTTGTACTTTGCTTCTGTTAAAGTGCTAGTAGAAACCAACTTGTCCTGAATCTGCCCATACTGGCCAAAGCAGACGGTACAATTCTGGGCTTGCCTAACAACATTAGAAGAATGCTGGGTTCTCCAAGAGTATCAAAGGCATCCATTACTATGTGAATTTGTGTTTACATTGATGCAGAGAAACTTATGAGACAGCAAATACATTTAAGTGTTTTTTATGCAAAGTGCGTATTAGCTCTTTAAACTGTATGCTGCAGACAGAGCGTGACTGGTGCCATCATATGGCACAGTTGGGTAGTTCCTGGCAACCCATGAAGTCCCCAGGCTGAGCTCCAACCTGGTGCGATCCCTAGTTTGTTGCTCCCGTGATGCCTGAGACACCAGCTTGAAAAGCTATTTAGGGACAGAGCTGGTGTGCGAAACTGAGAGCACCCCCCCCCCCACACACACACACACACAGACACCACCATCCTGCAGAGGACTCGTAGCAAGCTGACGAGGTCATTGGGTGGTGGCACTTTGTCTTCCAAGGCCCAGTGCGGAATGGAGATGCGCTGCTGCCCATCTCCACTGGTCCACAGTGCTCTCAGCCCAGAATGCAGTGTTTGGGAGGGAAACTGAGGCACTGAGGGAAAGGTGACAGTGGCCACTCTCGCCTCTCTTCGCAGGGGTTGGAAAACGAATGAATGCATTTTATGTTGATGGAGGCTAGAATGAACCCTCTGGTCCCCCAAAGCTCCCCACCCTGATGCCAGTTCAGCCTCAGGATCTCGACATGGTTCACTCGGTCTTGTCTCCAGTCAGCATGCCTCTCCGAGGAATGTCGTATCACTTGAGTCACTTCTGTTCTGGCAGGATCCCTGTGGAGTTTGAGAAACTAGTAGCAAAGGTGGCTTAAGAAGGAGTGTGCAGTAGTTTTGGGGGGCAGAGGAATCAGATTTCTTCCCTGCCAGGGACACGGTCCACTGCGGGTACCTAGCCCAAAGAGCAATAAAAACCTAAAAGCAGCCTTGTGCATGGCGGTTGCATGTTACTGAATTTTATTCTGTAGCACCTGTTGAATTTAGAAGTTTGCAACAGCACCGGTCTCTCTCATTGCTGCTTAGCACTGTTTTATCCTGTCACCACCTTAAGAGAATATTTAGAATAACTTAAAACAGGGATACTTGTAGTGATGCAGTATAGTAATGTAATAATTTTAGTGGCCTGTGTATAGGGTAATACATGAGAAGAAATTGGGGGAAATGATACTATTTCATACTAATTAAAGAGCCTTTAAGGTCATCTGTGCCTCAAGTTTTTGACCTCGCATAGAACGCTCTGCTGGAGTGTTATATTTAGGTGTTTTGATGCTAACCTATTTGAGAAGAATCATTGTTGAGGCATTAGTGCATGGGTCCTCCAACTACAGCCTGCGGGACAGATCCAGCCCGCCACGGCCATTTATCCGGCCCACGCTGCTGCCCACCACCCGTGTGCGCACTCGCTGCATGAGTAGGGAGGCAGTGACTTGCTCGCTCGGAGATGGCTTTGGACTCGCTGGGAGGTCTCCAAGCGAGTGAGCCGCTGCCTTTCAACTGGTCTCCTATTGAAAAAGTTTGAGGACCCCTGCATTAGTGTCTCATAATCCCCAAAAGGCTTAATTAAAAAATCTTGCTTCTTCTGTTACTGCCGTTATAGGGAATGGTGCATATGCCTCCGACAGTAAACAACAACGAGACCTACTGTGCAACTTTTTGGCATGGATGTCAGTTTTTAATAGCTAGGAATGTTAGAGAGTTTTGGTGGCAAGGTAAGTCTGCTGTGGCTCCATGAGGCTACTTTGGTCTTTAGAGTCTGCCATAGCTTTGTAGATGGCTTGAATCAAAATTCAACAGCATACAGCTCAACAAAGATTTCTTAGGACTATGACAGACATCTCTTCATCTTAAAAACAAAGTTTCTAATCCCCATGCCATTAGTAGTGGAGTTTGAATAAATAATAGAAGAAACTGCGATGCTTTTCATGGCCAAAGTGAAGTAGTTCACTCTCATTTCTTTCTTATAAATGCCTGTTTCATATCAGTTTTGTGAGGTAATTTTAGTAACAGGCTGTATTGCTACAAGGTACGACTAGCTCTTTATCACCATCCCAAGTGCACCTCATCACACAGTCCTGTCTACACTGAATCAAGCCTACTGAATTCAGTGGACTTGTTCCCACTTAAATGTACATGAGGCTACAGTTTAAGTCTCCAAAATGAGAGAATGGCCTCAGAAGATACATATGAACTGAGAACATGGAATTCTGCAAAGGAAATAGCTCTGTAAATTTAAAAGCAGGAATAGTTTGACCATATACACAAAAACCTGCTAGGTTTCACCCAAGTCATGGGAATAATTATTTGCAACCTTAAATCCAGTTGAGATTCTGGGGACCCCGACACCAAGTCTTCTAAATTTTTTATCCAGAAATCTGGCAGTCCTTCGTGGCTACGGCAACATCAGTCTAAACATTTCAGTAGTACAAAAGACACAATGAGGCACAATGTAATTTTAATAGCAAGGGTTATAATTATTTAATGTATGGATAGTGTAGTCTAAAAATTAAGCCTCACCATTTCACATGATGGATCTTTAAAAAAATAATTTAGGGATACATTTTAGAATTACATCATGGTGATCTGTGGACGGATAAAGAATAGCAATTAAGCGCAAGCAGACCAATTTCCCATTACACTTCTCTGACAAACTCATTAGGCGACCTCAGACAAGTAACTCCTTGCCTAAGCCTTCCCTCATTACATGTTTATTCTGCCTTTCCTCACTGATTTCGCAGCACTGTGCCTCTTCCCACCCACCCTGCTGCACTGTATCCTTGCGTCTACCCTGTGAGGTAGCTTGAGCTGGCAGAGAATAATTGCCCTGTGAATCACCCAGTGAGTTTTGCAGCTAAGTGTATATTACACCCAAGCCTCTCCAGTCCTACTCCAATACTTTATCCCAACCTGCCCTAATCTGGTGCCCTCTATTTGTGTTGAACTCCATTTCCCATCATTCCCAGCCAGAATGGCCATGGCTTTAAACAGAAGCAGGAGGGCTGAACTCATGTCCAGAATTATATTCTTATGTCACAGATTCTCCTTTTCCCTCTACGGTTACTTTGCATGCGGCACTCACATCAACATGGAGAACAAGGCTACAAAGTAGTTTTAAAAAATGTACAATTATATATTCAAGAGTTGGCAGTTTTTAAGGCATGGCCATTTTTACATATTAGAGCCTTGGATGGCAGATGTGCAAAAGATACCAAAACCAGCAGCATTAAGGGGCAACCCAGTGCAAAAGACCCTTTACTAGTGCTCTCTCCATGCAGGAAAACATGGTGATGTATTAGAATTCTAGGCACTGCTTCAGCACTGAAAATAAATTGTGGCAACTGCTGAGCGTGTCTTGGTAATACATACATTGCTTCCTTCATCCCTTCTGAGATTTATATCATAACCCGTTAGCCATTAGGATGCTATGTATTGTCAAAAATCTGACCTAGTATCAGCACTCAGCAACCTTGTTGAGAGCTTCACTGTTCCAACCAGGCAGCTCAGCCCTCTTGTTTGTCCTTTTAGACCGCTGGGTCGAAAAGCCACCATTTTGGTTTCTTACAATGCTCTCAACAATGCACAGCAGTGTCCTGGTACACTGCAGGGCATTAAAGTGGTGGCGGCCCAGCAGAGGAGGAGGAGAAGACCCCTCAAAACTGGAACCAGCCCTGGGTGCTGCTGTGGTGAATCCCTTTTCTAGCACCCCAATGGCAATTGTGCCACCATGAAACTTGCTCCAGGAGACCATGTATGAGTGCCACTCTGGACATAATAGAACTTGTGGATGGGTCCAGCAGCAGCTGGAGAGCTGGACTGCATGCAAAGTTTTAGCAAGTCCTGCTGGGAACAGTGAGGGAACATAACGGTTGGTCTATTTGGTGACCATAAAAGGTTTTGGCCCTCCCACCTCTTGCTGGCATTAGCTAACTACCTTCTATTTGCCAGAAAAACTCCACAGAACAATTTGATTGGTACGTCTCAAATGCAGCCTGCAATTACACTTTATGGACTGTATTACTGATAAAATAGCGGTGTTGCTTTGAGAGCAGCATGAAAAGGAGCTGCTTTGGATCCTTTCTTTTTTACAGCTTTGATAGAGCATTCTGGAAAAGTGGTTTCAAATACTTCTCGAAGACCTGGTTCCCCTGTTAGGAAATAGAAAAGGAAATAGGGTGTTAAGTATGTAGATGAACAATGGCTCTCAGAAACCTTACCACTGCCTAATTCAACATTTCACCTTCATCAACTGTTGAGTGTCAACTACAAAAAACTCCAGGATCTGGCTGGTAAGTTTTCCTGGTCACATGTCTAAAACTGGTACTGAAAAAGTGGGGACTTATGCACAGAAATTGGGGTTTGTGTGCAGTTTTCCTAACTAGACCAGTGCCATCTCTTGCTTACCTCCTCTCCCATCTTCTCTCATCTTCCCTTCCTGCTGGTGGCAAGCTTCTTATTATGGCCCTGCATCGAACAGGGCTTCTTGTCACATTCCCACCAAGCTATATAAGCAGGGCTCTGTGCTACGTTGTCATTGACTGATAAGAAAATACTGCAGAGCAATATTAAGCATACAGTATCTCTTGTAACAGGCAGAAGATCTAATGATATATAAAATATGGAAGAGGCAGGCATATGTGCACTTGTTTTGACAGAAGTTATTGATTTTTGCTGTAGTGAGAAAAGCTAGTTACAGAGAGAAGCCTGTATACATGATGAGGCTTAAACTGATGAGTAGATATTTGCTTATTTTGCACGATTATTCTTGGTGCTGAAGTTATTAGAACAGGGGAGAAATCAGGACTTAACAGAACCCAGAAAGCCTACCTGATTTCCCTAATTGTGTACCAGTCAGGCACCCTCACCCCTGTAGCTATGCAGCTATGCAGACAAGGGAGCTGCGTTCACTTTTGACCCCTCTGTAATTTGAGCATTGATTTATTCTGTGTTTGCTGCACAGGGAAGAAAAAAACAGGGAAATGAAGCTCACTCTGCTGATTACTGGAAATCCTACCAAACCCTTACCATAGCTCTGGAAAGTATCTGATATTGCTCATATTCTTTGAAGCCCCTCTCTGCTGCCATAAGGGCTAGAGACAGATATTTGCTTAAAAATAAATGCAGCCAATGCCAAATCGGTGCTGTCCTTGCCTCCACCCACCATGGTTCCATGGTGCTGTGGAGTATCTTCAGCTCTGTGTAGAAAGTGCTGGGCAGCGTCTCCCAACAAAGCGGGGCTGGCTTTCCGTATGGGGTCGCAAAGCACACGTGCCCATTTCTTCCTACACAGGGCTTCCTACATAATTGCTTAAGACAATTAAGCCAGGAGATTTACCGGAACTGCTCCCATCTCTCTCTTGCACACCACAGGTGCTCCGTGTTGTGCTTGTCCCCCACGGCAGCATTTCTGCTGATACCAGTGCACGCCTGTATTTTCTGCCCAACTGGTGACTTTCCTCTTCTTCAAATCTCCCCTCAGAACCAAAAAGCCTCGCCCTCCTTCACCTCAAATCCACTTTCCCTGCCTATCCCACTGACTGTGTCTCAGGCCCAGGGTAGTGCCTACTTTGTGCTGGAATAATCAAAGCTCAAAATTCTGCTCTAAGCCAACCTGAATTCGGTTTGAAGGAAAGCCAACTTGCATAAATTATGCAGGTTAAGCAAATCCGTGTGCCATGCACAGTCCGTTTTGCTTCTGCTTGCTATGCAAAGTAGATCCTGCCCAGGGTTGGCAATTCAATCCGACACACGAGAATTGGTAGCTTTGCCCCTCCCTCCTCTTAAAAAATAAGCACTGGTTTCAGCACGAACTGTTCTCACCTGATGATTGGTTGGCGACTTCTTGGCCCACTCATATAGCCGCTGGTAGGCCTGGCCATCATAGCTTCCGATGGCTGAGTTTAAATCTGCATCAGAGAGGTCAAATGCATCCACCAATGGCACAGCGTCCCTTCTGAAAGAGCAAAAGAAACATTTTGTTTTATGAGCTGCCATGTCAGTCACAATTTTTGCTCCAAAGATTACTTAACACGAAGTACAGCTATAAAAACGCTGGAACGGGCATTAAAATCAAAGCACATAAAGCAGCATCCATTTAGAAAAATAAGGCTCAAAAACAGAGATGAGGAAATGAAAACTTGGCAGAGAAACATATCACATCTTTCTGTCACTATTTATTTATTAAAGCCACACTCTGAACCCTAGAAGATCTTGCCATAGAGAGAATGGATGCAGAACACAGGGTCCTGAGCAGCTGACCAAGGCAACCCAAACTCTGCATCGATCCCACTATGTTATGCAATTATACAAATTAAGCACACATTTTGCATATTTTGTTTTGATCCAGCTAACAATCGGGAGGGGCAAGCCGTGCATCAGGGCACTGGGGACCCATCCTAGAGAGGAAATCCTGCTCCGCAATCCCCTTCTGAGACTTAGGCAATGCCCACAAAATCTGCGAGGTCCATCTTTTCAACCTTAGGGGCTAGAAACTTGATTTAAAGAAATCAAGCAAATGAAAATTATCAGAATGTAGAATTCTGTGTCCAGTATCCAGTTCTGTGCTTCCAGGAACCTTCACATGATTGCATAATTTTTTGCATGTACATAAAGCCAGAAAAGGGGGAAGAATTCAGCCAACCTCTGGGGATAGTTATGGGTCATAAAAGGAAAAAGTGGTGGTGGTGGTGATGATAGTTTTAAAAGCTCTTCATTTTTTAACCCAGGAAACTGTTGGACTTCGGCTGCTTTTGTGTACTCTACAGCCTAATAAAAACAATAGTTTCTTTAATGCTTTATAGAGATGTTCTGTCCCTTTAAATTTCAGATATCAATAAAAACCCTGAAAATATTTTAAATGGCATACAAATAATAGTTTTATCTCTTAAGGCCTTTATGCTTGATGGCATGGTCCGTATACTGCACTCATCCTCTTTACTGGAAGGGATTTGATAAAGCTTTAAAATGATTATTTCTGGCTTATTTAAAAAGCCTACACAGCTGATTTTGAATTAAAATCTTTCCACGGTGCTGATGCAGACACTTCCGTCATTAAAGGGAGAGGTCACGGCTTCCACGCTCTTCAAAATATCAGAGTCAGGAGGATGAAAACATATTTTGAATGCCTGCTTTTATTAAAAACAGCCAAAGACTGTATAAGGGACTAGAGACATCCTGTAAACATGAAAATGACCAAAAGGCCACAGTCATTTTTAGCCTGTAGTGTAAAGAAAGACACTGAGGCCAAGAACCTGTATGAGCAGACCAAGCTGGCTCATACTGGGTCAGACCGTCAGTCCATCCAGCCTGGCGATTTCTACTCTGGCTGGCAGAGGTTCTCCAAGGGCTGAGAGCAACCTCTGCCAGAGGTTCCCTGCCTTCTAGCCACAGAAACTGGAGATGCTGTGCCTTGAACCTGCTATTTTCTGCAGTGTGCATGCGACAAATCCCATCTGTCATTAAGCTATGATCTCTGCTATCGTGCTTGCAGCAATTCTACAAGTACGGCCTAAGGACCCTCTAGTCAGGCCACATGCCCCTGAGGGAAGCCCACAAGCAGGCCAGGAGGACGATACCGCGGGCTTTCATCTTCCTTCCTCAGCAACTGGCAAGCGGAGGAATGCAGCTCCCCTTACAGGACTAGTAGCCACTGATAGCTTTGTCCTCAAATCTGCTCATCCCCTTTCAAAGCCTCTTGATCCAGAGCCAAGTTAATAGCCATCAGTACATCCTGAATAGCAAACTCAATAGTTCAATTATGTGCTGCATGAAGAAATACTTCCTTTTATCTGTTCTGAATTTCCAGCCATTCAGCCCCATTGGATGACAAGTTCTAATGTTACAGGACGGAGAAAACTATCCACTTTATGCACACCTTGTTTAATTTTATATACATCTATAATGTATCCCCTCCCTTTAACTGGACTTGTTTCTAAGTTAAAGAATTCCAAACACTTCAGGCTTTCTTCATGAGGGACTTGCTCTATTTTGGCTGCCTTTTCCACACCCTTTCCAGCCCGTGTTTATCCTTTTTGAGGTGTGGGAGCCAGGACTGTACAGTTTTCCGAGCGCAGTAACACCACTGCTCTGCATTAAGAGCAGTAGAATACGAGCAGTTTTGTTTTCCGATCATCTCCAGCATGGTATTTGCTTTCTCCACACACAATCAGAGGGGACTCAAGTTTGAAAACTAGATGTTGAACTGAGCTCATTAACACTCTGTGCCTTGAGGCATGTCTTGATTCAAACTGGGCAGAGCTCAGTGGGAGAATCAGAAAGCAGAAGAGCAGTGGGAAAATCTCCAGAAAAATATCTTGCCAGCCTAGCTGGCAAAGACCCCCAACAGACCTTTCTGAAGGGCCACTGATCAATCGCAGAGCACAAGCTCTGCATGCAAAAGTCCCAGGTACAAACGCTGGCATCTCCAGGTAAAAGAATCTGATTGCTGGTGATGAGAAAGATGCTCTGCAGAGACTAAATGCCACTGCAAGCTTGAGTAAGCAATACTGGACTTAATGGGGCCTGGCAACAGTCCTAGTTTGGAGAGCCACTGCCGGGAGAAATAGATAGCTGTGCTCTTTGGCTAGAGGGCTGCAGAAATGTCTGGGGGCAAGTTTTCTTTGGGAGCAGAGGGAAATGTTAGCACCAGTCTAACATGCACCCTTATGACAAAAAAGTGGAAAAAAAGAAAACAAAAGACATAGTGCAACTGGGGACAATGGAACCAACAGGCCCAATTTCTTGATGGGTCCTCTTCTCTAACAAGGAGAAGGAGCAGAGGAGCTTTGTGGGAGCTTAGCTGAGGCACTTGCACCTCCCACAGGCTTCCTGCTTCACACACAAATGACACAGAATTCTCTAGTGGCTTATGAATGACAGCATAACAGAAACTGGACGAAAATGCATCCCACTGATGGCAGAACGAAGCACCTTACCGAACGACAGTCAGGAGGTCCAGGTATGATTCAGTCACCATGTCGGTGTGCTCTGTAGAAAGGTACCCATCCTGCATAAAATCTCCCAAGTTGGCTAACATTCCATTCAGTGCAAACAGGTCGCAGAGCTGCTTAAGGATCCTGTAGATGGCAGCCTCTTTTTTGTATTTCTCCAGTCCTTGGACAAATTTTTCAACCACAATGTAGTGGCTGTGAGCCTGAAAAAGTTAACAGCCAGGCGCAAATGCCATCATCAGTTTGTACCATGGAACCTTTGAAAGTGTTGAGTGTATGTCTAAAAAAGGTGGTGTGCAGAGAAGGGAGGTGAGCCACATTCTCACAAGGCTGGGGACTGCTTGTGAAATTACATGGATGCATTCCACAACTTAGCAAGGCAGAAACAGAAAAGTCCACATCCCTGAAATTCCACTCCCTTACTCTAGCTGTAAATCAAAGACGACTTTGATAGTTGGAATGTGTTTAGAATGCGCAGAAAAGATGAGCAGTACAGAAAAAGCTACCCAAGGAAGGCTTTTTCAAAAACGCATTATTTTCAAAGGTATTATACCCTATATTAGGGTTGGGGGTGTACACCAGGGTAGGGTTACGGTTAGAAGAAAAAGGTGTCCTGGCACGATTTTGATTTTTGGAGTATGTTTAGAATGGACAGAAATGATGAGTTGTGCAGAAAAAGCTAATTATGGAAGGTTCTTCAAAAATTCCCCTCTTTTTAATGGTATTACACCATACATTAGGATTAGGGGTGTGCACCAGGGTTGGGTTAGGCCTAGAAAAACGAGTATCCCGGCATAGTTTTGATGGTTGAATGTGTTTAGAATAAGCAGAAATAATGAGCAGTGGAGAAATAGCTACACAAGGAACGCTTTTTCAAAAACGCATTATTTTAAATGGTGTTGTACCCTATATTAGGGTTAGGGGGGTGCACCAGGGTAGGGTTAGGGTTGGAAAAATGAGGTGCCCTGGCATGATTTTAACGGTTGGGAAGTGTTTAGAATGGGAAGAAGTGATGAGCAGTGCAGAAAAAGCGACTCAATGACGGCTTTTTCAAAATTGCAGGAGTTTCAATAATACTACATCCTATATTAGGGTTAGGGGAGAGCACCAGGGTAGGGTTAGGGTTAGAAAAAGGCGGTATCCTGGCACGCTTTTGATGGTTGGAAAGTGTTAGGAATCGATAGAAATGATGAGCAGTGCAAAAAAAGCTACTCAAAAGTGGCTTTTTCAAAATTGCATGAGTTTCAATAATACTACATCCTTTATTACGGTAAGGGGAGTGCACCAGGGTAGGGTTAGGGTTAGAAAAACAAGGTGCCCTGGCATGATTTTGATGGTTGGAAAGTGTTTAGAATGGGCAGAAATGATGAGCAGTGCAGAAAAAGCTACTCAAAGACGGCTTTTTCAAAACTGCATGAGGTTCAATAATACTACATCCTATTTTAGGGTTAGGGGTGTGCACCAGGGTAGGGTTAGAGTTAGAAATATGAGGTATCCTGGCACGCTTTTGATGGTTGGAAAGTGTTTAGAATGGGCAGAAATGATGAGCAGTGCAAAAAAAGCTACTCAAGGAACGCTTTTGGAAAAACGCATTATATTCAATGTTATTATACCGTACACTAGGGTTAGGGGGGTGCACCATGGTAGGGTTAGGGTTAGTAAAACGAGGTGCCCTGGCATGATTTTGATGGTTGGAAAGTGTTTAGAATGGGCAGAAGTGATGAGTAGTGCAGGAAAAGCTTCTCAAGCAAGGGTTTTTCAAAATTGCCTGATTTTCAATGGTATTATACCCCATGTTAGGGTTAGGGATGTGCATCAGGGTAGGGTTAGGAAAACGAGATGCCCGAGCATCAGAGAACCTTGCACACAGGTGCCATGCTCATGTTCATAGAGGAGTAGTGCTGCCAGGCGATGGCCTCACAGGCCCGACTCATTTGCCGTGACTTGTCCGAGCCTCTGTATGGCTAGGGAGTGTGCTGCCAAGCATATATATATTTGCTTGGACTGGCTGTGGGGGTGTTTTCAGGTTTTATTGTAGTGTTGGCACTTTGCGATAAATATGTGGGTTTTGGGTTGCAAATTGGGCACTTGGTCTCTGAAACGTTCGTCATCGCTGGACTAGGATATGGGTCCTCAATCTATTCTTGTGGGTCAGCCACAGCCCGCCATGTTCATTTGTCTGGCCTGCCTCAGAGCTTTTGGACTCGCTCGGAGGAAACGATCTCAGCCAGTGCAGGCATTCTCTGAGCAGAGAGCCAGCACATGGGTCAAATTCTAACAACTCAACTGCACATGTGCCAGCTCTTCCCCCCACCCGCCCTTTGCATGCATATACAGAGTGGGAATATTGAGTGCGAATCAGAAGAGAGGAGGGTGGAAGGGACAGCGAAGATACTAAAAAAGGATTCAAGGTAAGAAAACATAACTCTTTAAATCCCCTTTTAAGTATGTGAGCCATGTCCCTGGGCATGGGAGCTTCGGCCTTCTATGGGCAAGCCACTGCCATTGAGCGGCTGCCATGCTTCTTTCCCCACGGCAGGGCAAGGCGGGAGGCGCCCCGCTCGGCCAGGCATGGCCCATCCATCGCCTCGGAAGAAAACCCTTCCCTCAAAGCTGCCCTGCACTCACCTCTCTGGTCTCCTGCTGCCACTCCTGCTCCCTCAGAACCGGGGTGGCGGCAAGGACTACAATTTCCATCATGTCCAACCAGCATGGCCAATGGAAGTTGTAGTCCATCTCATCTGGACAGTACCAGTTTTGGCAAGCTTGCATTTAAAATACGGTAGTCATTAGCTCTGCATCCAAATACAGCCATTGTGTATTGTGGGAATTGCCCTGGGCTGACTTTTAATTAATTTTAATTTTAATTAATTTTTAATGTGCAGTGTGCATAGGAATTTGTTCATATTGTTTTTTCAACCTATAGTCCAGCCCCCCAGCAGTCTGAGGGACAGTGAACTGGCCTCCTGTTTTAAAAGTTTGAGGACCCCTGCTCTAGGATGTACATTGGTGGTATTGCTGTGATCTTAATGATCTCAGTGGTTCTTTCTGTCACCCATCATCTTCAGGCTAACTTCTCCTCAAAGGCCCAAAGTCTGCAAAGCCAGACTAACTTTTGAACAAAGCAAGCTGTTGGCCTAATGTCCTGAACTAGTGCCACAAATTCTGTTCAGGTCTCTTGACAACACAATTTACAGAATAATACTTAAAAAGTATTGCTTACATGTAGATATCATGTTTCCCAACCATTTCTCTTAGACAAAACATGGATTTTTAAAACAGCATCTGAATAAATGTATGTGACCTGAATTTCCTTGATTCCATTTGTTGAGCGCATTTCAGACACGGGCCTGCTAAAGCTCTGGCAGAGGAGACAGTCAGGATGAAGCCACACAAGAGCTACTAACCATTGCGGCCTGTGCCAGCTGGACAGAGCATTTGTTCCACGCTTCATGCTGTGCAATTCCTGATTGAACCAGCATCTGAAGTTTGGCGGCTGCATTTCTCACAGTCCTGGCAGCAGGGATGAAAAAATCAATATTACAGATGCAAAGTTCCAAAAGATATTTCAAATAATTGTAAATCAATGCCTTTAAAAAAAAGAGAGTTATATATCCTTAATGGCAGAAACAAAGGCATGGTCTATCTATATGAAGCAGAACGAGAGGGAAGAATTCTGGGCGGTATCATTGTAGGAGAGATGAACCACTTTTGGACACTGTAGAAAAGAAAAAACAGTACTAGCACATCAGAGAAAGAATTTCTAGGTTAAAGCTTTCTTCCAAATGAACAAAAGGTTTAAGAACAAAAATGTTGGCAAGTGTTTTAAAATGTTGAAAGGTGTACAAGTCCCTTGTGTTGCCTTGAGACTTTGCCATCCCGTTCTCCCAAATGTGTGGCCCAGGCTGAATATACACCTCAGTCTCCACAGGACCATTACCCCAGCGCAAATTATAAAGAAGCCTCTGGCAATCTCTGGGGCTGTTCTTGAGGTCTATTTATGAACATCAGTTCATAGTCATTATATGTTTTTCGGCGCCAGGTCAAGACCTTTTTATTTAATCAATATTTTAATAGGTTTTAATATTGAATTTTATTGTTGTATTTTATTAATTTACAGCCAGTGTGGATAGTCAAATGATTTATGTTGTAAACCGTCCAGAGATGCAAGTAATTGGACGGCATACAAATTTTATAAATAAAATAACATAAATAAAATAAATAGTAAATTTACTGTGTCTTTTTGGACCTGTGGGCACGTTTGGAAACTTGAAAAATTGCTGTGGGCATCACTGCAAAATGGCTAAACAGCTAATTGCCCCTTTGGCATCTACTTGTTGCACCTCCAGATCTTGGGCTGCCATCTCATTAAGCAAAAATGTGTGTCTTATCTCTATTGGACACCACAACATCCCTTCAACAATTCAGCTAATTTCTGGCAGTGGAATGTCACTAATGCTTTTTTGAAACATGTTTCGGCAATGTCCAGTAGTTGTTTGTGTCTGGGAGAAGTCTTTAGATAAATTTTGTACTGGAACAGTCTTTAATATTCACTGATGTGCACACTCTTTAAAATTACTTTTGGCTACATGAAAACTAATGAATGGAAAAAGAAATGAATTCTGTATGTCTTTTTGAAAGCTAACAGACTGAAATGGCAAAGTGCAAGCATAAACATTCACCTCTTATAATGCAATGGATTGAGAACGTAACAACACTTTTGATATATGAATGGGTGGCATATGGATACTTATTTGGATACTTGGTCCACTTTTGCAGTTTTTATGTATAAGTCTCATAAAATCCCTGTGTGCTTATTTAAAAAGAAAAAACTAATTGTTAAAAAATTGGGGGAGCCTGCAGGCACCGTGTTGGAGATGCCTCTGCAGGCACACCTGGAGGTCCGAATGGTTAGGAACTTCACTGGGGACCCCATGTTACAGTATTCTGCTGTTTCCTACTATGCTTAAGCTGGCTTAGACTGACAAAGAGCAATTCACCCATAACAAACCCATAGCAAAGCAGAGAGTTGAACAGGGTGTCTCTCTCCCATGCCCAACAGTATATCCGCTGTGACATTAGCACCTGTTCCCCACTGCCTGTCAGCAGAGCTGGAGTTTCAGCCCAAAGGTCAAATTTAAATTTGGAGAGGCCTTCAGGGGTTATTATCCAGGAGTAGGAAGGGCCAAGGGTAAAAGGCATGCGTCAAGAATACAAGCAAATACGCCCAACAGCAGCATGCTGCCAGTAACCAAGTCTTACAGTAATCATTTCAACCTTTTATAATCCAGGAAAAACTGCAGGAAACCCAGGAAACCGGAAACAACTGGAGGTTGGCAGGGAAGTGGTGGGGGTGAAAGGGGAGAAGCCGAAGGGAGGCAGTGTGGCTGGTCTCAGGAGGGCCACATCTGGCTGCCTGGCCTGAGATCTGTCGCCTCTGACTCCCAGGCTCAGAAGTCAGAGGTGGAAGTCAGAAGTGTTGGATCCATCATGCCTTCATGGCTTTTGCCAAGCATTCCTAAAGAGCGGCCCGCATCTCCCGATGTCCCATCACTTCGACCGACCGACAGAGCCCTCCTGACTTGCCTAGGTGTGCATGAAGTAGAAGGGCATTTATGGAAACAGTCCTTCAGTTCTATCCTGTGTTGAAGGCCAACAGCACGTTCCAGCTCTTGGTTTATTTGTAACGAGTCCAAGGACTCAGCTTTGCTGAGGTGAAATCATGAAACCTTAAGGCAAAGTTACGCAGCAGTCACAACTGAACACGCCATACCTGTCCCATCCGAGTACGGTTATATCCGCCGGCACTCCTGGGGTGGGCATGACCTCGGCTATGCTGCATTCCTGCAGCACCCGAGGAAGGGCTCTGCCTAGCGCTCTCCTCTCACGGAGACTGTCTGCCTGCAGAAGCAGGGAGGCAGAGCTGCGCGGCTCTGCTCCTTGACTTGCATCCACCTGGCTTCATGCTGCGATCCACAGCACAGCCACAGTGAGGCCAGTCTTCCGCCCAGCGGTTGCAGGTTGCAAACATAGCAACACCTTTAAATGAATTTAATATTTTGTTTCGTTTTTAATAAATGATCTCGAGGCACACATCTCTAGAGCTCCCTTGATATGTCAGATGTTTAGTCTCACACTGTTGGGGCTGACAGACTGAGACACTTCCTCTTTTAACAGGCTGGGGTGGCTGTTGTTTTAATCTGGTATGTCTCTCAACATGACTAGCAGGCCGTGAGTAGCAAGCCTGTGAGAACAGTTGGGTCAAAGTTGCAATTCAGGGTAGGTTTAGACAGAAAAAAGCCTCCAAGTGAGTCCCAGACAGTAAAGCTGTGGGTTTTAGGCCTTTTTTCTGACTAGCCTAGGATGACACCTGAAGAGGCAGTAACTGGCCCCAAGGCCTCTCTAATCACCCAATGCCGAACCTGATTGCCTGCTGACACCCCTGAACCTTTAAGGCAGGGCCGCCCATAAGGCAGAAGTATCAAACCTTAAGCACATGGGACAGATCTGACCCACCCTGAGTCCTGCTCTGGCCCTCTGGGATTCCCCAGAAGGTGCCGTCCACGTTCCCCAACCATGTGGTAGGTTCCTGGTTTCTGTGACGTTTTCCCCATGCTGATGGGTGGAAATGCTCCTACGGCTCAGCTACTGGCAGCAAGAGCTTTAAGTAAAATGTACTGGCAAGCCTGATATTTTGCCCCTCCCCTGGAATGTGCCCCTCCAGAGCTTCTTAGATCTTGAGTCCACTCCCAGGCAGAAAGAAGCCCAGCACTCCTACTATAAAGTCGAACACACACCAATTATAAATAGAATAGGTCTTCAAGCCAACCTGTATGCTCGCTGCCTATAGGCATCACTGTAAATTTCAGGATTTAGGAAGTCTCCCTTTTCCTGGGCTTGGCATTTTCCCAAACCTTTGGAAGACAAGTAGGCAACTGATGGAGGAACAGGGTGGCCCCTGTGCACTGTCCCGTAGCATTTGATCAGAAATCTAAGGACAAAGAAAAAGAAAGCTGAGACATATCTCTAGGTGCAAACTTTTATCTGATCCATAAATCTTGTTTTTCAGCTGTAAGAATGTCGTGCCTAATGACTCGGGGGAGGTGTTAGCACGCGAAAGAGGGCCAGAAACCCCCAGTGAGGATCAGGCTTTAGAGCAGGGAGATTTATACTTGGTGTCCACACACAAACAGCCCCCCACCCCAGCACCTGACTCTCAAGCAAGGGGCGGCAAAGAAATGTTCTAATAATAATAACTTTTTGAGGGAGTTCCTGGAAATCAGGAAGGGGAGTCGGTTGTCATGGAATGTGCCCAACTCAGGTGGAGACTTTGATGCTTAGACCAATTAGAACAGAGAAGGAGACAAAGAGGTTTGTCCAATCCTTGTGGAGAGGGACGTGTGAGGAGATTGAGATCCATGTGACAAATCTCAGAGAGGTCAGAAAGGAGAGGGCAACTGTGTTGCTTGGAGCTCTCTGCGGTAGCTCCTGCACTATCTGTTGTAAACATAAATCTTGTAGTCGTTTGGAGTAAAGGTCTTTAGTTTTTATTGCCTGCATCTGTATGAGTAATCTGGGACGTGAGTTACGACCTCACGACAAAGAAATAGGAAAGACTGTATGATGCCTGAAGAGGGTATCTCAACCCCCTGTCAGAGGCAGTTCATGCATGTCTTGCCTCTGAGGTCCCCACTTCCTCAGTGCCTGACCTTCCCAAGTTGAGCAGAGAGATCTGAAGAGAAGTCCTTCTTATCTCACAAGTAAAGGCTTTTGTGGGATCAGAATTCTGGTTTATCAGGATGCCACACTGCACAAAGGCTTCTACTCCTGTTCACGCAGACGTGAGCGGAACCCTCCCTCCTTCAGGCTGGGGACTGAGCTGGCAGGCTGGTGCATGCAGGGACACTGAGGACAGGGCCAACGTACATGTTTCCCTGCCCGTTTGGGCTGAATCCCAGAACAGGGCTGTAGGTAACTGGAAAGCAATAAACCATAACATCTTTGTGCGCTTTTCATGTTCCTGAAGCTTACAAGAGCTTTTATATTTTAGTCAAAATGACAACTTTCCCTTCCCTCACAGAAGCTGCACTGAAAATATTATGACAGTTCTGGAATGTTCCTGGTTATGCCATGCCATGATTCCAGCTCAGCACAGCAGTCTCAGAAGCTTCACTGCTCTATCAGAATGTCCCTGAATGCACAAACGAACATGCAAATGAAACACCAGCCAGTTCATTCTAGTGCCTGAGGGGGCAGTTCAATTTGCAAGTCTTAGTGGAATGTGGCACGGAGGTTCTGCATCACACCTTAGCTGCAGGTGCCAGGTAGAAGCACACCTTCTCCCCCTGTTGACTTTTCACCACCAGCACTACCAAAGACGATCAAGAATAGGAGAAAAGTTCCTGGTGAGGAAGGATTAGGATCTTTTACAGTGAGCTTACCTGGCTGTCTGCAGAAGAAGAACAGTGTTTTCTCCCTCGTAAGTGCAAGCGGCAACCAGTCTTGTATACAAGGAGGGCAGCCCACTGAGAAGGGAGAAGCCATGTCCCCCACAGGCTCTCCGACACACCTCCACTCCAGCTGAGCTGTAGTCTGTCATGATCACTTTAATGCCTGAAGCGAGAGCATGGAGCTGCAAAGAGGGCAGAAAGATGGGGGTTCTAGCAGGACATGGGTTTCAGCATTTCTGTGAACAAGGTGAAGACTCTGAGAAAGTATAAGGACGGCTTACAGCTTCTGCACATCAGCAAAGTATTAAATTACATAGGCTTACATTCCTTCCTACCACTCACCTAAATATATTTATGGACCATTTTTTGTCTGAGGTGCTATTACCTGTCATGAGGTAAGGAATAGGTGTAAGATACATACTAAGTGTAACTGTGCTTGATTCAATCCCCATGGTCAAAACTCTCCCACTGAAATCTATTAGACTTTTTAAAGGGTAAGTATTGCCAGTAGCATACATACAGGACCTCAAGGGGACATCCATGAGATTTAAAAGCACTTCACACAAACCAGATCGTGCCCCGTTGTTGAAAATTTTGTGGTGTGTGGTTGCGAGATAAGCCAAAACCACAGTGGCACAGAGCAGTGAAGCGGGCTTTCAGAGCAAACATGCACAAAGCTCCTATTACATTCCTCTTGAACGTGCGCCACTCTGGACCGCTTGTGGGTGTCTGGGAACAGTTTCAATGATGTCTGCAGGTGAAGAAGCAGCACCCCAAGGAAAGGGGCATCAGTCAAGTGCCAGGGGTTTGGTGTGTGCTGCCATTGCTACGCTGATGACATGCAGCCGCATTTCTCCTTTTCCAAGTCAGCAGGTAAGGCTGTGTACGTGCTAAACGGGTGACAACGGACTGGGTGTTGCCGAAGAAGCTGGAGCTCAGTCTGGACAAGACGGGACACGCTGTTGGTGGGTGGTTCCTTTGACTTGCAACTTTCCGACAGCCGCAACACTTTAAATCCTCCCATGCCCCACCCCCGCAAACACAATTATCATTTTGTAGGCAGTTCACAAGCATTCACCTGCTAATCATCAAGCAACAAGGCTTCATGAAATGCACATTTTGTTTCTTAAGCACAAACACAAAGCAATTTGTTCTGGAACAGGCTTAGAGCTCTTCTGGGGCAGGGGTGGGGATTGTTCTGGCAAGGACTGGTGAGTCCAATTTGTTTGCACTGTGGACCGGATTGCTTCCAAAATTATTTTGGCCACGGCAGCAATAATGTCCCCCTTTAAAGACAGCAAAACCTGATTTTTTAAAACAAAGACAGCTGTACAGTTAGGTGAGAGGGGAGTGGCAAGCGAGCCACGTGGTCAGCCCCCTGGCCCTCAAGGTAGTCCGCTGCCAGCTGGCTTCTGTATGTGTCTACCTGTCCATCCAGTTGGCTTCCACAGGTGGAACAGGGTGTGTGTGTGCAAGAGAGAGGGGACAGAGAGACACTGCCCTTTACTTCAGCCTTCAAAACACCTTGGACCAACCCTGATTCTCCATGATTCGAATGAGAGCTCATGAACAAAACAGATATAGATCAGGCTGCTTACCAGGGAGTAAGGGCTGCTGAACTCAGTGGCACTTGCTTCTGGGAAAACATGTATAGGATGACACTGTCAGACATTTATTGTCCCCCCCTGAAGCGAGTGATCATTCTCCTCCTGTTTACAAAAGGCCTGCTTTTCTCTTGCGTGTTACCTCTGGAAGCAGGTCGAATTTGCCTTCTTTAGTGTCTGCGTAGCCCTGGTTAAAGACGTCCTGCATGTAGTCGCACACGAAGTGGAAGGCATAGGCGGTGGCAAGCTGAGGGAGCAGCTTCTGCTGCTGAGTCTGATAGTCCAGAATCTTCGCCTCTGGGTCGCTGAGGGAAGGAAATGAGATTGGTTATCGCAGACAAGTAGCAATCATTTCCCAGGGAGCCCTCAGATTTGCATTTATTTTAAAGTATTTCTAGGCTGCCTTTCAGGGCAGGAGCCTTCCCAAGCTGGGATATGGCAATAGAATTGCATACAGTAAAAACCAGAACAGCTGCACAACAGCAGAAATGCATAAAACATCAAGAAACACCAGCAATAAATCTCTGAGCTTGACAGTAATAACATCCTGCATCAGAAGCACAGCTAGAAACAGGTGTGTAAAACAAAGGTGGGGCCCGGGGGAACCCACAGACAACCCATTCCAGCAAAGTGGGGGCAGTGCAGGAGGCTGGCCTTCAAGTCCTCTGATCATATTCAAGTGCAAGTAGCATTTGCAACCAATTAAGAGACATGTAGGAATTATGCAAATTAAGGCCCTTCACTTAATAAAAGGTCATCCTAACACTTCACTTTCCAGGTCTCTCCTGCTCTGACCCTGCACTTCTCTGAAGCTTTTCCTTTATGTCACTAGGAATTTTTCCACATGAGACCATTAATGGATATATTGACTTCCAGTTTCTCTGAAGCATTAAGATCCCAGAGCTACACTAAGAGCATTTCCTTGCCTACTTTTCCTCTAGGTAGCACTGTGATATAATGAAGTAGCACAAATACACAAGAAGGAAATGATCTTTTCTCTTACTTTCTGAAGTAATGCCCCATCTGTTTTAAAAGACCATAAAAGCAGGTGTAGCCTGTCATCCATAAAAGCTGGCTTCCCAACCAACAGTGCCTTCATCTTGTCTGGATTCAGCCATACACCTAAAAAATCCTCCAGATACTGCTTTAAGAGCAATACAGCCTCCCTGGGACATGCAGCAGGAAGCAAAAGGTGGAGCTGAAGGTGCTTCATCAAAACCTCTGGGTGACTTCCCCCAGTGGCTTCATGTGGAGGTTAACCCTCAGAGCACCTCACAGGAGTGGACTGCAAGTCCTGTAGGACCACATTCGGAGTCTGCTCCTCCAGGGAAGACCAAGAGCATTTTCACACTGGCTCTCCTGCTCACGTTGTGTGCATGTTGAGGGGAGTGACATCCGGGGTTCCCCATTCCCACTGTAGCCCACTGCATCCTTCAAAGAAGCTGCAGTGGTGGGGCTGGGTTGGACAGTCCTCCAGAACAGCAAGGAAGCTGGCAGGGGACCTGGAGCAAATCTGCTCCCCATGAGGGTCACAGCACACACAAAGAACCCGCGATCCCTTTGGCACTTGGGTCTTCCACGATCTGAAACAAAACCTGAGCCAGCCTTCATTCAAAGCCAGACATCAGCAATCAAGGAGGAAGCCTGTACTGAGCAGATCAGTTGCGCAAGAAAGAATCACCCATTTGGAAGTACCTTTGGCCTCCTACTGGAGTCTCCTCTTTTGAGTCCCCAGACCCTACCGAGGACCATCCTCAACCTTCACTGCCTTCTCAGTGTGACCCATTTACAAATCTATCCGCTCACTTCACAGTTTAATGGGGGGGGGGGGGGAGAAAAGGGAACGGGCAGTGACACTGGGAGCACTTGTGTAAAATGGGGGAAGCAATGACAAAAGGAGCCCAGAGGATCCCCCACTGGGGCGGACCCCTTTTTCTTAACATACCCAGGCTTTAACTCGGACTGCCGACGCACCACCGAGTATCGGATGGCGATGGTGCACGCCTTCATCAGAGTGAGGACAACCTCACCGCGAAGTATGCCCACGCGGATCACAATCATAGTCAAATAGTTAATCTTTTCACTTCCTCGAGTCACATACTGGCCATCTGGCAGGACCTGGAATTTACAATGGGGCAGCGACTGAAGCGCATTCTGAGAAAGCAAAGTCTTCTGCATTAAACCTAGGGAAATTAACTTGCTTGCTTGCTCACTTCAGTGAATGCTTATTGTTACGTGCCATGAAGTTGCGTCTGCTTTATGACGATCCTATAAGTTAATAATTACAAGCAAGAAATAAGCAACATTTCCAAAGAAGGCAACACTTGGGAAGCAAATAGGGCTAACTGCTTTAAGTGCATGTGTATTTGCACTACAGAGATTCCCAGTCTAGGCACCACTCCCCTGAGCAGTTCTCTACTGGCCTCTCATAAAAACATACAATGTTAATGTCACACCGAGCCTTGGTCTGCAGTGCACAGGGAAGTAACTTGCCAGTGTTGTGCACTGTATTATCTTGGGCTCAGGAATCGTTCGCAGGCGTGATGCTTTGAGGAGAAAACTGCATGAATCAGTCCTAGGAGTGGGAGCATTCAAACTGCATTACTCCAAAACAATGAAACATATGAAAAGACGTGTTCATCTATTATTTGCATACAACACTACAATGTATTTATTCTGAAGCCAGTATACTGAGGTTTTGCAAAAGCTAGGATTAATTTGTATTTTAGTTTATTTTGATAAGGAATAGTGATGCGCTGAGGGCAAAACAAGAGAGTAACAATGTACAGGTAAGGGAATGTACCTGGAAAATGCAGGGCAGGCCCAGAAACTTAAGCACCTGAAGCATTTTCAAGTTTTGCCAGAGGGATATCATATATTTTTTCCATAACCATGAAGACTAATTTCTCACTTTCATTTCAAGGCTTGTGAAAATTCACAACCTTCTGTCAACAGATTTCAGATTAAATTCTGTGAATGTGAAAATCACTTCAGGTCCTTAATGTTCTGCTGCTAAAACATACTTAAACCTGTTTGCTTCTCACAGGTATACCTGAGAGAATCTGGCCAGCATGTTTTCCCTTGGAACCCGAACATTCTTCATCATAAGAAAGCCATTGTCGATATTTTCAAAGCTCATTTTGGGACCAATATCCCCAACAGTTATTCCTGTGAAACAATACAAGCGTTCAAATTTTAAAAAGTAAAGCGACACTGAATGAAGGGTGTCAGCTTCAAATTTGCTAAAAGAAATTGTGCAGAGCCTGGGTGTCATGGATGAATTTCATAAAGCAGGAAGAAATGCTGTGGTGGGCAGCTTGATGAAAATGTCAGCCCAGAGGTGGCTGCTGTGGGAAATGCAAACTCCGCATCAGGCATAATTAGGAAAGGAACTGAAAATCAAACTGCCCATATCATATTCCCCATTTACAATTCCAAGGTGCAAGCAGCCTTGGATACTGTGTGCAGTTCTGGCCACCTCACCTAACAAGGGCTATTGCAAAGTTGGAAAAAGTGCAGAAAATGGCAAGCAAAGTGATCAAAGCGCTGGAACAATTCCCCTAAGAGGAAAGGTTATAACTTGTGGGGAAAAACAGCAAGCAAGGGGAGACATGGCAGAGGTGTGCAGAGTCATGCCAGGTATAAAGAGAGTGGGGAGGGGGCATTTTCTTCCCTCGCTCATATTGCTAGAGCCTGGGGTCACCCCGTGAAGCTGCCTGGTAGCCGATCCAGGGCAGATAAATGAAAGGATTTCTTCATACTGAGCCTTGTCAAACCAGAAAATTATCTTCCACAAGATGTACTCACAGCCACCAATTCGAATGGCTTTAAAAGGGGACTGGACACATTTCATGGGGGAAAGGGCTACTGCTCCTGACTGACGGCTGGCTACAGGCAACCCCCAGGATCAGAGGCGGTGTGGCTGTGTGCACCAGTGGGGATCATGGGTGGAAGGGTGCTGTTACAGTCGTGTCCTGCTTGGGGTTCCGCTGGGATGCTGGTTGGCGCCTCTGCGGACAGACTGGTGAATGAGACAGGTCTTACTTTCTTATGCTAAGGACTGAGACCACGCATTACTGATGGTGAGGCAGGTCAGTGTGAAGACTGGTTTTGATAACCGAGATGTTTTAGGCAGGGTTCCTACAGTGCAATCCTACACTGGATTACTCAGAAGTAAGTCCCAGTGATATTGATGCCACTTACTTCCAAACGCTGCTGCAGAACTGAAGGTGTATTTCTTAGTGACCTTGTGCCTCCATATTTATCATGTTCACACTATTCCCCTATTTCCTTTCATCAACAATGAAACCTCTTAGCAACCACCCACGCTGTCATGCTCTCTGCCTCCTAAATATGGAATTATCTTCCTTAAATGGTTTGGGTGAATCCCTATTTCTCTAATTTTAAGAAATCATTGTCAACTCTTCTTTTCCCTTCTCACTGTCTCCTTTAAGAACTACAGTAGTTGCCCGAAATTGGTGGGGTTACGTTCCTAAAGCACCCACGAATTGTGAAAAAGTGCGAATTTGGTGCTGGCGATGGATGCTGGGGCAGGAGGTGCGGGCCAGGCTGGGTGGGGGGGGGCGTTCGTGAGGCAGAGGCGGGCGCAGGCAGAGATCGTTTTCTCCAAGCGAGTCCAAACTCAGAGGAAATGATCTCCTTGCAAGTAAGCCACTGCACGGCAAGGCGCCGGCTTACTCACAAGGAGATTGGCTTGGAGTTGCTTGGAGAAAAATCCCGTGAAAGACTGAAGTTGCAAATGCTGAACCGTGACTTCATGGGGGTATACTGTATACTGTTTGGCTTTGGTTTCTTCCCTAGATTAATTACTCTATGTTTTCATTCTTATTTCATTCTTGCACAGCTTGTGCAAGCTGTCCCCTTTCCTTCCAATTCCCATCTCTTTTTGTGCCATGTCTCATTTTAGTTTGTGAGCTGGTAAACAGGGACTTTTTGTATTTATATACTGCTTTTCAGGTGAAAATACTAATAGCCCACACAAGTATTATTAACACAACAAGCCATATTAATATGCTTTGGTGGGGGGCTATAGAAAGCTGGATTTCTTTTCCCTTCAGGCTAAGAGAGCCCCTCTCAGAGAATGCTAGAATGGCCCTGGGGTAGTTCCCCTCCCATATCTTCCCTTTGCCTCTTCCATGATCTTTAAAGTTGAAAAGCAGTATATACTTACAGTTATTAATAGTAACAATGCTGCTTATTAATAGTAAAAACACTGTAAGTAGTGATAAAGAACTGCTGAGGACGTACTGGCCATTTTCCAAGTTAACATAATATATTTTGAGGGCAACAGTTACTTCACTGGGATTGCGGCCACAGTAAGATGTCATTCTGGGAGGGCAAGCGTGGGAAGCATTGTGCGAAGGTCGTTTATCCCCACTCTGCAGCCACACTCTCCGGGCACTGGGGGGGGTGGCACAGAACCCAGCACTTTAAGACCCTCGAGTGCCCGGAGGAAACACTGACGCCTTGGAAGATTGAAGCAAAGCACGAGAGCAGCGTTCCCTCAAGACCCTCTGGAGAAAGTCACCTGGTGCTGGAGAATGATCTTGGAGGCTGCGGATCTGCAGTATGAAGGGGTGTATGCCATGGCATTTTCCTTTTAGGTAAAGCTGAGCAAAAACAACAGCGTGAGTTGCTGATCGCCCCACTGCAAGGGAGGGGAAGAAAAGGAGACACCACATATTTGAAAAGGTAACCAGCATTTTCAGACCTTAGTTATGTCAGCAGTTCTGCTTAGCCATTGCAGCTGCTAAGGATGGTGGCAAAGAAGAGGAGGCCCAAGGGCTTGGGAACGGACTTGAAAAATTCACTTGTTGATCTTCTCGGCTCTCTATGACCTCTGGATGATGCATTTGCTATGCTCCACTTAAAGATTTCAAATATCCCATTAAGCTACATCTCAAGGACCAGGGAAAACAACTGATGTGAGAGATGAACCAAAAGACCACCGGCACATTTGCTACTCACAATCTCCGGGCCACCACTTCATGGCAGAGATGTTTGGCGTGTTGAGGATGAATTCCTGAGTGGCAACATCAAAAGTGGCTGTTGTCTCCAAGCCTCGAAGATAAGTTCCTTCAGAGCAGAAAGGGAAAGCAGCAAAAGAGAGAGCATTTCAAGACCAAGACTAGATTCTACACAGCCTGACTTGGGCTCACTGCAGTGCAAGGGCTGGACGTGAGCGGTGACTGGGACAGGCAGAGCGCCGGGGCCAGGGGATTGACATGAGGTCAGGTCCTGCAGCTTAGCAGGGTCAAGGCAGCAGACAGTCCAATATTGCACAGGAGAGAGAAAGCACAGTCCAGAAACAGTCCAGCGGTCTGATGTCAGGGAAACAGTCACGTAAGGGTGGTCCAACAAGAGTGGGCTGGAGTAGGACAGGAACAACTGGAGCAAGAAGGAACACTCAGGAGCAAGGCTAGGACGTGCAGACAAGGACGTGCAGGATCAAACAGGAGCGAGGCAGAAACAACTGCAGCAAGCCGGAGAAGACTGGAGCACACTGGAGTTAAGGCAGAAACAAAAGGAGCAGGATTGGAGCATGGCTGGAACAAGGCGGGAGCAAGTTTTGAGGCATGACGACGCGGAGGGCAGCACACGAGAGAGTCATGAAGACCACCTGGGCTGCTGTGGCAAAGAGCAGCAGTGTCAGGAAGCCTTTTAATGCTGGTCTCCTGGGCCTCCAGCTGCGCTGCATGATTGCTCCTCAGGTGTTCCTTGCAAGTGCCCCAAAGGTGTTCCTGGCTCTGTGAGCACTTGCAGGGTCACTCCGGCCCTCATCCGGACAGGCAGGACTGGGCGCCACCTCTTTCTGCACACAAGCTCCACCCTCCTGGTGTCAATCTTTGGGACTTCCATGTCACTGCAAAGGCCCATCGGTGTTCCAAGCCCCATTTCCCCTGGAGATCCTATCACCAGTTCTCTTTAACAGAGGAACAAACAAGTGTGGGTCATGTATATCATTCACTGGTTGAATCTGTTTTAGTGTAAGACTGAGGTCAGACAAGTGTGATAAGCTGCACTCAAGGTTAACCAGAGGTTGCTGTTGAATCATGGGTTGCTGTTCGCTGCCTGAACCCAGTCCAGATGGGGAACAACCCACAACCCAGCAACAAACCATGGGGCCTACTGTTTGCGGTTAAAGTGAGAACCCACATTGAAAAAACAGCCCATAGTTGAACAATAACCCCCACTCAGCCCTTAAGCCTGGGAATCATGTTAACTGAACCCAGTCGATGTGAGCTTCCTGTTGTATCCTATCAGGCTTCATGGCCACTCCTCCTTGGGGTTAGTACAAAAACATCACTTTGAGCAGATCCAACACCTTGTGCTAATCTGGTGGCCTTTCGGTTGTGTTGAACTATAACTCCCATCATTCACAGGCATTATGGCCATTGGGTGTGTATGATGGGGGTCAGTTAACCAATCCGGAAGGTCCTAGGTTTTAGGACCACAAAAGGCTAGGCCATGAAACTCACCATGTCCCAGTTCAGTTTGGGCATAGGTTCCTATGATGTGAAACCTTTCTGCTAAGCGGATCCACTTGGCGATCTGTTCATCTGTGCCCAGCCCCAAAATGCTCTTCATGAAGACCTGGTGTACGGAAAATGCCAAATCAGCACCAAGAGCCCTGGAAAAGGATATGCAGATGCTGAGATGCTCCTGACATTGGCTTCCAACAAGTGGACCATGCAAAAATACAAAGCGGCCAGTGGGCAGGGTGGGGGTGCCAGGCTAAAACTGTTGGGAAGCAACGGGCCCCAGCAGCGACTGAACTTGAGCATGCAAACGTGCCGTCTGTTCTTCTCTTCAGACTACGCAAGTCTCTAAGGATAGGGATGCCTACTGTTTCTGGCAGCAAGGAGAGCATTTTGAACTGACTGATTTGCATGCCCTAACATTACCTTGTCTTCCTGATCCCAAAACCTGTTACCACAGAATGTTTCTTCAAACCTTTTCATCTCTTTTCAAGTTCAGTATCTTTAATATCCTTAATTCCTTGTGTATCCATTCAAAAATCCTCAAAAACATGAAATAAAGGAGACCTAACCGTTGCCCAGAAGCATGGTTTCCAGCACAATCTGTACTGGCTTAATCAGGGGAAAGCCCCAGGATTACTTTCATCTGGGTACAATTCTATACTTGTTTAGGCTGAAAAAAAAAAAAAATCTGACAGCTTCCAGCCTTCCCCACCCACTGGGCTGGAAGTTGTATTTTTTCTGTCTGAACCTGTACAAGATTGCAACTCCAGTGTGTATTCCAGGTTGTAGCCATACAGCACAATCCTACTCAACAGTAAACACCCGTGGATGTTGCCCCCATGGGTGATCAACCTGAATAGAGGGGAGGCGGATGACCCCAGACCCTGTTCTGTACAGGCTGAACGACAAAAGGGTTGAACCACGCCCCATGTCCAAGATTGGAGCCATGCTCCCAAGACGATGTGGTCCCTGGGGGGCGTGTTGGACAGAAGATCCTCAAATGCCAAGAACCAGCTTTTTCTGTGGCTCTCCTTCCAGCACCGAAGGCCCAAATGCAGTGGAGCGGCTGCCCCTGCACCCCACCTTCTCGCATGGGGAAAGGATGCAGGGCAGCTGAAGCTACCACTCCCCAAGAGGGAGCCCTTGTGCCCGACCATGCCAAGGAGATGTCTCTGCGTGCCACACGCCAGTGTGGATGTCAGGGGATGGACCACGAGGGCTGCAGCCCAGAACCCCTGGGAGAAATGTTACCTGTGAGCCTCCAGCCCCACCACCTTTCTGCCCCTGGGTGCCCCTCTGTTCATGCTGGAATATCGGTACAGGCGTTTGCATTATCTCTCTCCGTTGCACCGGATCCCTCTGGATTAGCCGAACTTCTGTCCACATGTAATTCCCCTTTCTGCTAAGCCCCACCTCAACTCTTTCTGCAAGAGGTTTTTTCTGAAATAAGATGCTCTTCTCTGCCCTACCCATATATGGTTTTTTTTTTTTTTTGCAAGTAGGGCTGTCCTTAGGGGACAGGAGGCTTTACAGATGCATGCACACTTCAGAGCACATGCAAACTCACATATGCAAATTGGGGGGCTGACTCTGTGTGTCTAAGGCTTAATCTTCCCAGTACCTAGCACCCCTGTCACTCACCCTCCCTCTGGAAGGAAAGCTTTATGCAGGAGATTCCTCTATCTCCAGTCAATGACCAGAAATAAGAAGATTCCTCTTTGTACCTCTCAGAACAGCCATGGCCAGGGGACAGAGCATGGAACTAGACCAAGCCCACGGCTGGAGGCTGCTCCTCCCTGATATTTACAGTTGCCGTCTGTGTCTTTGTTAATCTCTTGCAAGCGCTGCTTCTCGGCCTGTGGCTTTCATCTTTAATTCAAATCCTTTCATTGCAAAACGGCACACAGTGAGGTTACACAGATGTACTTCTAGACGTGGCTTTTGGTTCCATCATGTTGCCGCATCATGGAATTTTACTGTAGATCCAGATGCCATCATACCTTTCCCATGTTTTTCTACCACTTCTGCCACCTTTTCTCTTACTGCAGGCTGAGTAAGCCATTAAGAAAGGAAAATAGAATAGCTACGCAGTGCCCTCGCCCTTGTCAGGCAAGGAGTTCTCCCTCTGGAAGAACAGGTTTAACCTTAGGGTGGTTTTAAAATAGCTCTAAATAAAAGAAACAGAATATAACCCATGTTCATTTTACCATGTGTAGTTCCTGGCAAAGTTACATGTTCCTTGGTGCGCTGAAAAATTATAGGATCTGGGCCTGGCACCTTCCATATAGCTCCCACCCTCTTTGAGTTTAGTTATTCCACTTTGGAAGTCTTGATTCTATTAAGTTGTTTCACCAAAATCAGCAGAAAACAGGAGTTTTATGACAGACAACACAAATGAACAGTTTTTTTTTTAAAAAAACACCACAAAGTCTTGTGACACCTTAAAAATTACAAATTTATCACAGCATAAAACTCTACCATAGTCAGTTAGTTAGTTTTTAAGGTGCCACAAAATCTTTGCAGCAACACGCAACTATCCTTTTTAAAATCACCTGAAGCAGTAGTTCCTTTCAGGTCCATCTGGGGCCCATCCCATTTTAGACATCATCTTTCCAAGGTACACAGACCTCCTGACAGCACCTTCATATCTTTCATTCTGGCTTAGGAAGTACTGGTTTTCTCTGTTAAATTCCGGTTCACTTTGGAGTATTGCACCTGTGGAATACACATCAATTCTTTCAGCAGGCCATGGCACAAGAATGTAAAATGTAAATAAAACCAAATGTCAACCTATTTCAACATAAAACTTTTACTCCCACTCATCAAGCCTTAGGAGATGCAGGTCCACCATTTAGAATGGGGTGCAAATGAACAACAGATGATACACCACCATACCATTTATGGTTGGGGGGAAGCGGGGGAGGCCAGGAGAAGGGGGCATGGTTGCCAAGGAACCCCCAGTATAGGAGGGCTATACTGGAACCTCAAGAGTGCTAGATTTGGAGCAGGGACCTGAAATTCCCTATCCTTATCTAGACTTACTTTACTGCTATTGACCTTTTTAGTATTACGAAATAAGGGAATAGATAAAAGCAACGGGGGGGGGGGGGGGTAGAAAGCCAAGGCCTTTGCCCAAGGCGCCTGTTGAGCTCTGAATCTTTGCCTTTTTTTGCCAATGTCTTCTTCATAGTCAAGAGAACTAGCAGTTATTTTCTTGAAAATGGAGAGCCCCAAAGCCAAGTTCTGGAGACTGCATGAAATGCAGTTAGGCTGGCTTTAATTCCTGCTTTCTGGCTGTTGTCTTTGATGCTGCAGCTAAAAACCAGAGATTTCACTCAGCCACAAAAACACTTTCATGCAGCATCTCTGTGAAGGAACATGTCAACAGGCAAACGGGACACAGATAAGAGAGCAGAAGAAATCTGGTATTCCAACAAAGAACGATCTCTTGCAGCCTACTTACCTACAGCCCTTCGGATCTGAGTGCATTCAGCACCTCCATCTAGTATGTTAGTGAGTCGTTCTACACTGAAGGAAGCAGTTTTTCTTTCTGTGTCAAGGTCAGGATTCACATCTTGTCCAGCAGAATTTTGGAAATTCTTAAATACCTTCTGCGTTGTCATTTTGAATGTTGAAGGAACACTGAAGTGACAGCATAAAGTTATTTGTGTGTCTTCTGATGCCTGACAAGGAAGATTTCTTTTTTTAAAACTCTGTTAAAAATTAATGTTTTCTTAAGATGGTTTTCGGAGCCTGTCAGCACAACCTGATTCTCATTTCCCTGCTGGAAGCAAACTGCTGTGAACACAGTGGGCCTCACATTTGCGAAATCATATTACCTTGTGATTGCAAGGGTGTGTTTTCAACTTGGCCTTTGCAAATCAGTGAGCGATACCCGAGATTATGGTAATCAATCATTTGAGAGGAACCTACTAAGTATTGTAATCATAAGAACAAAAGAAAAGCCACGCTGGATCAGACCAAAGGAGGAGATACCAGCGGGAACCACGTGTTCAGGCTGAGGCCAGAGTATCTGCAGATGCACCTATGGAATGAAAAATGCTTGAGCACCCATAAATGATGAATAATCAGCAAGCCAGCTGCAGCTCAAGGGTCCGGCACTCATGCTCTTCAGGGGCTTTGTGACATCCGCATTTTTGTATCTCTGAGGGGCTGCCAGAGAAGGCTAGCATCCTGCACTCCACCCCATGGGTCACAAATTGTGCAGGTCTTCTTTAGAGAGGGATGCAAGGCTTTAAATGAAGTATGAAAGTGAAGCTACTCTTTCTTGGCTGGCTCAGTGAAGTTTGTTTGATTGATCAGTGTAAAATTATAGAATTCAAAGGTAACCTACAGTGCCATTTTCCACGCAAGGCAAGAATCTCAAAGCTGCATCTGAGTGGACGATACTGAGAGACAAACTATGCAGTTTAGCAACAATGCATACAAAGCGGAGATTTCCCTCTGCATCCTGTATTGCTGAACCTACGTGTCTTCTTCATGCAACTCATTTCCAGCTGTCTCATCATACAATTCTTTCATGGTAGCCCCTTCCGGCATTTCTGTGGCTTGTTAAAAGGTGCCGCAGGCTGCCAAAACCATACGATAGGCCAGTTCCCCCTGAGAAACAGAACTGCTTATATAATTACACCCACAACGCTTTCCTGCATCCTCTGCATCCTACCAGGTGTGACCCATGGAGTGGAAAAACTCCCAGCACTGAAAAGTCCTTGGCTCTGCTTCATAACAAATTGGCTTCCTGCTTTAGCGTGGTAATTCCAACTGATGAGGCCAGTCCAGTGACTGGGTGGACTTTGATGCTGCAAACAGAGGCTGCACTTGCAAAAGTGCTTAAACAGTGTTATAATCACCCATGATAAGAAGACAAGAACAGCCCTGTTAAATTTTATTTACTTATTTATTTAAAACATTTTTATCCCGTCCTTTCCAGAAGGCTCAGGACGGATCAAAGAAAGCGTCCATCTAGTCTAGCATTCTGTTGACGGAGTAGCCAACCGGTTGCCTGTGGGAGGTCCTCAAGAAGGGCTTGAGTGCAACACCACCCTCCCACTCATGTCCCACACCACAGGTTTACATAGAAACAGAGTTAGTCAGAAGGGGTCTCTTGGGCCATCTAGTCTGACCCCCAGCTCCAGCCAGCTCCACTCATGACATGCATGGGCCCATGGCCTCTGATGCTGGAAGCAGCATGGAGCCATCCGGACTAGTAGCCACTGATAGCCTTTTCCTCCATGATTTTGTCCCATCCTTTTAAAACTGTCCAAGTTGGTCATCACTACCTCCTGGGGCAGTGAATGCCATAATTTTACTATGTGTTGTGTGAGGTTCTTTTATCTGCTCTGAATCTCCAGTCAGGTTCATGGGATGATCCTGGGTTTAATAATTTAAATTTAATAAAACATTTTTATCCCATCTTTTCACAAATGTCTCAAGACAGCTTACAGAGTATAAAATCAAAACAATAAAAATGCAATCCATAATATAATAAATAGCAATAAATAGATCATGATAAATACAAACATTACTAACAGGATAACATTAAACCAATAATAAACAAAAAAGAATAAATCATAATCATGAAAAAATAAATAACAATGGATAACATAATAAAATAAATAATAAAATAAAATAAAATGCAACTGTTAAGTTTAAAAATCTAAAAATTCTAATTCTTAAAATGGTGTTTAAATAAAAAGGTTTTAATCTGGCACCGAAAAGAATATAGGCTCGGTGCCAGGCGAACCTCTCTGGGGAGCACATTCCACAGTCTGGGCGCCACCACAGAGAAAGCCCTACTCCAAGCAGATAACCTTTTTACCTCCTTCAAGGAGGCTTCCCGGAGCAGGGCCTCTCCCACAGATCTTAAGGGGCATGAGGGCATATAAGGAAGGAGACGTCCCTTCAGGTATCCTGGTCCCAAGCCATTTAGGGCTTTATAGGTCAAAACCAGCACCTTGAATTGGGCTCAGATTTCAACTGGAAGCTAGTGGAGCTGGTAGAGGACCAGCATTATATAGGAATAACAGCCGGTCCCCGTCAGCAGCTTGGCAGCTCTATTTTGTACCAGTTGAAGTATCTGGACCGTTTTCAAGGGCAGCCCCACAGACAGCGCGTTACAGTAATCCAATTGGGAAGTTACCAGAGCATGTACCACCATTGCTAGGCAGTGCTTGTCCAGGTAATGATGCAGCTGATGGACCTGCTGAAGCTGCAGGAAAGCACTCCTTGCCACCACCACCACCTGGGTCTCCAGTGACAGCTCCGGATCAAGGAGTATCCCCAAGCTGTGGACCTTGTCCTTTAGAGGGAGTGCTACCCTGTCCAGGGCAAGGTCAAAATCACTTACCTGAAAACACAAACTGCCCAACAGAACTTCCATCCTATCTGGATTTAGGCTCAGTTTACTGGTCCTCATCCAGCCCATTACCTCGGCCAGGCACCGGTTCAGTACAGCCACTGCCTCAGGCGGAGTAGATGTAAACAAGAGGTAGAGCTGGGTATCGTCAGTGTACTGATGATTCCACAGCCCAAACCTCCTGATGACCTCTCTCAGCGGTTTCATGTAGATGTTAAATAGCATGGGGGACAAACAAGAGCCCTGCGGGACTCCATGGCAAAACTGCCATGGCGCAGAGCTATATTCCCCCAGCACCACCTTCTGGAATTGGCCGGCCAGATAGGAGTGGAACCGCTGCCATGCAGAGCCTCCTATTCCCAACCCAGCCAGCCTATCCAGAAGGATACCATGGTCAATGGTATCGAAAGCCGCTGAGAGGTCCAGGAGAACCAACAGGGACACACTCCCACTGTCCCTCCCCGCACAGGTCATTGTACAGGGTGACCAAGGCAGATTCAGTACCATAACCAAGTCTGAAGCCAGACTGAAATGGGTCCAGATAATCCGTTTCATCCAAAATTGCCTGGAGTTGTCCCGCCACCACCCGCTCTAACACCTTGCCCAAAAATGAGATACCGGATGATAGATAGTGGCCACTTCTGGGTCCCGGGATGCCTTCTTCAGCACAGGCTGGGTCACCGCATCCCTCAAGGAGACAGGGATCCAGACCTCCCTCAGTGAGGTGTTAATAACCTCCTGGATCCAGGGACCAATCCTGTAACTGGCTTTCTTAAGTAGCCAAGGAGGGCAAGAGTCAAGTAAACAGGTGGTAGGGCGTACCATCCCAAGCACCTTGTCCACATCCTCAGCCCACAATAACTGAAACTCATCCAATAATGGTGGACCAGACAGCGCTCTGGACACTTCCCATACTGGAGCCATATCAGCTGTGGAATCCAGATCGTGGTGAATCTGAACAATTTTTTCCTTAAAGTGCTGAGCAAAGTCATCACAGCAGGCTGCCAATGGTGTCAACACATCTTTTTCCTGGCCAGAGTGTATCAGGCCCCACATCACTCGGAAAAGCTCCGCTGGACAGCACTGTGAGGAAGCAATGGAAGCGGAGAAGAATTGCCTCTTCACCGCCCTCACCACCACAGCATAGGCTCGATAATGAGCACGTAGATTCGTTTGGTCAGATTCATCCCGAGATTTCCTCCACCTGCGCTCTAATCATCTCCCTTCCCAGGGTTCTAGGATTATAGGAGAGAAAAATGCCTCCCTCTCTACTTCCTCCACACCATGCATCTTTCTGAACACCTCGATCATGTCTCCCCTTACTTGCCTTTTTTCTAAGCCAGTCTTCCCAACCTGGTGGGCTTCAGAGGCATTTGGACCACAACTCCCAGAATTCCTATCCAGCAGGGCCACTGACTGGGAATTCTGGGTATTGCAGCCCAAATGTGTCTGGAAGACACAAGGTTGGGGAAGGCTGTCTTAGCTAAATAATGCTAGATAAGGTTCCACACCTCCCAAACTTTTATTGGGATCTGCTTGCTCAGGCAAGAGAGCTTTAACTCCGACAGCCACTGGAGTGGGGGGAAAGCACTTTCCTCCATAAAAGAGCTATTTTCATTTTTTTTAAAAAACCCTTGGCAACAAAGTGAAAAATGTGCATTACAAAGCTCAAAACGTTGTACTGCATTTAGACTTCATATCATCCATTTGTGTAATAAAAAGCATGAAACAGTCACCAAATACAAGTATAAAGCTAATATATCTTATCACATAGCCTTTACGAAATCTGAAGGTTGTTTTTTTTTAATGAAAGATCTTTGCTAGAAGACGTTCTAGACAAACTATTCATGTCTCTAGAGCGCAGGGCAGCATACAGAGTCCAAGGTTTAAACCTCACTGTATCACTGAGTTAGGGTTAGGCAAGAAAGGACAGTACTGCAATGATTAACTTGGGGTCACCGAGGAACTTCATGGCAAAGAGGGGATGTGAACTTTGAACTTCCCAGCCCTACTGCAATATTCTAAGCACTCCACCGGTGTTTTAACCTTCTCTACTACTTGCATTTCACTTACACATCTATACATGATCATTCGGAAGAAGATCCGAGTTATTCCAACAGGGCACAGTCACGGCCATATGTACACAGGACCTAGCAAATACGCAAATAAACACGGGATGGCCGATCTGCAGCCCAGGACCGAGCACTAGCCAAATACTAAGCTGCACTTAGTTCAGTGCGGCCCACTAACACAGAACCGCGTGCATAGGGCCACTGTCCCGGAAGTGCGGCCCACTGAATCGGCAGCTGTGTTCTTAAGCTGTCAAGAGGGAAATTCAGCTCTTAAAATGATTTACGAAAAGAACAAAAATCAGAGAACGAGAAAGAGTAAATTACAGGAAGATCACATTCATTACCATTAAAAACATGGTTACTTGCATACTCCAATCCCAAATCAGTGATGCGTGTTACAAGGATCTGGAGGCTTCCTACACGCCTACACGCCCCCCTCCCACACACACCCCTTGCATGTAACTCTGTGCACCTTTTCTCA